GCCCCTTTAGGCTGCTCTGAGGGGTACCCGGAGCCTTGTCCAGGCGGGACCAGCCCGTGTCCTCCTCCTGCTGCAGATCTGCGTCCACACGTGTCCCGACCGGTTCCTGACGTACCTGAGCGCCCGCAGCTCGCCCCAGGAGCTGCAATATTACCGCACCTTCTGCGTCCCCGGGTCCCAGGACCTGCAGAAGGTGGGTCCATGGGGCGGTGTCGGCGTTCCCGCGCCGTCATTCCCACCCAGGCGCTGACATTCGTCCCACCCATCCCCATCCAGGCTCCTCTCCAGGTGCTGAAGGACAAGGAGTGCCCGGCCATGCTCATCCCCAGCACCCCACGTAGGTCTGGAGGGTTGTGGGGCTGTGATGGGAACGTTCGGGGGGGGCTGAGGCTCCTGGGGGGGATCCAGGGAGCCACCGGTGGGTTACGGCTCTGGGAGAGGGTTTGGCTCCTTGTAAAGGGGGCGTGGATGATGGAGGGATAATGGGTGGATGACGGAGGGATAATGGGTGGATGGAGGGATAATGGGTGGATGGAGGGATATTGGGTGGATGGAGGGATGGATGATGGAGGGATGATGGGTGGATGATGGAGGGATGATGGGTGGATGATGGAGGGATGATGGGTGGATAATGGGGGGATGATGGGTGGATGATGGGTGGATGGTGGAGGGATGGATGATGGATGATGGGTGGATGATGCCGCTTTCCCCCTCCCATGCCCAGTGGCGCGCCGATGCTTCCCGGCCATCCAAGCCAAGAACGGAGTCATCATGGTAGGCAACGAGACCACCTACGACGACGGCCAGGGCCAGCTGAGGAATGTCACCGAGCTGCTGGAAGGAGCCAAGTGAGTCCATCCCCGCAGGGTGGACACAGGGGCTTGGAGCAACCTGCTCCAGCGGAAGGTGTCCCTGCCCAGGGCAGGAGCTGGAGGAGCCTGAAGGTGCTTCCAACCCAAAGCACAGCATGACCCTGATGGGTTTGTGGTTGCAGGAAAGCCAACGTGGTCCTGGAGGCCCGACAACTGGCCATGAAGATCTTTGAAGACTACACGGTTTCCTGGTACTGGATAATCATGTGAGCAGATCCCTCCCCAGCACCCGCTTCCCGCTGGTCTCCGTGTCCTTCCCATTCAACACCACGGGAGGTGGTAGAGGATGTTCCTGAGCACCTTTGCTCGTGCTCCGTCCCCTCCAGCAGCAGGATTCCCATTTCTGGCTGTCCCCATCCACCGTTAGAGCTTGGGAAGGGAGAGGGCACGAGCCGGGCGCTGCAGAGACCCACTGGGGACGGGGTTGATGCGTTGCTGCCTTCCTCCCGCAGAGGCCTCGTCATCGCCATGGGGGCCAGCTTGACCTTCATCGTGCTGCTCCGCTTCCTGGCCGGGATCATGGTGTGGGTGATGATCGTGATGGTGATCCTGGTGCTGGGCTACGGTGAGCGGCTGCTCCGGAGCTTCCCCGCGCTCCCGGCCCCGTCCGAGGTGGCGTTGGCACGAGGAAGTCCACACGCAGCGTCCTCCCTGGTGGCTCCTCCTGGAACATCGGATGGACCCTTCCAATGTCTCGGCATCCACTTTCCTGAGCGGATCCGCCACCTTCCCGCTTTTCACCCCAGGAATCTTCCACTGTTACATGGAATACGCGAAGCTGAAGGGGGAAGCGGGGTCGGATGTCTCCCTGCAGGACCTGGGCTTTCAGACTGACCTCCGTGTGTACCTGCACCTGCGGCAGACCTGGTTGGCCTTCAGTGAGTCCCTGTCCTCCCCCGGACGTGCAGTGGGGGTTTTGGGGTGCCCCGGTGCTGCCCAAGCCCCCCCTTTCCTTGCAGTGATCATCCTGAGCGTCGTCGAGG